GAGGAGAACGGTGGAGACTACCACAGCTAGTTGACGCCGTAGTGATAGACCGATGTGTATCCTTTTAATGCCTGAAGATGCATGCGCGCACTTTCAAAGCCCCACAGTTTAGCACAAGTCATCGCAGTGAGTTATATTGAAAGCCGCACTTTCCTGGTCACCTCTGATGGTTTTTGGTCGCAGCTATAAATAGGTTCCGTTCACATCAAGGCGAGAAAATGAAAAATGTCGACTTTATGCTTTCCCTGTACCTACCGTGCGCTTATCCCTCCCGCACTATTTCTCCAATCCGTGTAAATTAGTTCAAGGGCCTTGCCCTTCTACTGATAGGCATGATGGTAGCAAATCCAGACCTCTGGAACTTAGCGTTAGATTGTGTATCTCTACGAGCTCAATTGGGCTATCACCCCACTGCAAAGGTATCGAACAAGTCCAAACCTGTCCCTTTATACAGTCATGGTTCTTGGTTATCGCTCTCCTTTTTTTGGTCTTTCGCATTAAGGTCGTGATTGATATGTAGTCATATGCAACGTAGAGTTCATCCGGTTTTGTCACAGTGTTTACAACCTACGGTAGGCGCGATTTCGTGATTCTTTACTGATGAATTCCAGGCGAGGAAATTGATTGACCTGTTGTATTTTAATCCTGACTAAATTAAAATCTTTTCAAAAATCATGCATCCATAAAGTGAATTAAAAGGAGATAAAAAATGTGAGTTCTAATGGAGTAGCGAAAAATATTCACGTTAATGGCCACTTAGTGCTGATCAGCTCCTGATTTGCTTATCACTTTTCTGCTTTTAATTACCCTATTCCACTTCTACAACCAACCTATTTATTGTAAGCGTAATAAGGAAAAGTGCCCACATATCCTAGAACTCCATGGAAATCTTTATCGCTGTGAATATTCGACTAGAAGGCGGATTAGTGCTTCCTCCTGAGTTAGAATCCTATTGAAAAATCACATTTTTCGAAATGAATTAAAGCATGATAAATCCTTACGTTAGTGACTGGCGTTGATTGAGGATCGAAATAGAAACAAGGGTTAAGCAGTCCCCTTTCGCATTCAGCCTACTAATCGTAGGTGTCAAGTATATCTTCGTTGGCTATTTTAAGTATATCAGAAACGGTGGAAAAAGCTCCCACGCCAATATGGATGCTATAGGCTTTTACACACACGAAGGGGGAATGGTTGACTTGGTGTTTTTACTCTGTGATTAGCTTCGAGCCAATCCGGGCTGTTACGAGGCGTTGGTGCGCCAGACGGTGGGTCGGAGGAACTCGGTGTTGATGGAGATTGAGCGTGATCTTCATCGCTCTCTACCTGAACACCCTGCCTACCACACACCTGAAGGCATTGCTGCTTTGCGCCGTGTTCTCACCGCCTACGCGTTCAGAAACCCCAATGTTGGTAAGCTCATTGCTTTTTAGTGCTTAAGTAGAATTTCACATGGAGGAAGTAGTAAGCCCTACCTGTTTGCAAGCAAATTCTTCTCTATACGATTTTCACGTGTACTGGGTGCTTTTGACGTGGAGATACGCTATCGCTTTGTTTGTAAACAGCACCCGAGTTGCCTCCGGTGACCTAAAAGACAACTCTTGCTTGAATACGTTGGCGTCCTTGCTAAAGCGATCAAAAATGAGGGGAAATTAGCCTTCTTTGTTAGGTCGCTGACTATGCATCCCCTGTAGCATAATTCAAGAGGTCGAGGCAGAATAGAGTATTTTGAGACTCATTTTAAAGCGCTTATATTTGTGCTCGCAGCAGCGAATTGAGAATCAAGAATAAAGTTTTTCCTACTTTTCATCCATACTGAGGCAACAATGCATTCATACCTGCTTGCAGATTAAAGTATTTCCTCAAAATTTATTGCTCTAAATAAAATCGGTTGAACACTGTAGTAATTTTTATCCAGAGGAAATAAGTATAAGGTTAAAACCCCTTTTTTTTTCAACACCAATGTCGCGTGTTTGACTTTCCAAATTTTCGCATGTGTCTAATGTCACAGATATGTGACATGCATTCTTTATCAGATTAGGAGAGGAAGTTGCGAAGGCTGTTCTTGACTTGAGGATAATTATATTTGCAGCAATGCAGCATCTGGGCTTTGGTGGTTGACCTTCTTCCCTGACCCTGGCGGTAAATGTCCAAAAAATAAATTTGAGAGCATAACTGCCTCATATTTTTGTAGGGGTTCTGAAAAACTCAGATTAAGGGGTGGAATTTTCTTCATGCAGAAAAGCACTTTTTGACATTGAAGCAAGAAGGAAAATCCCACCAGAAATCAGGCTTCATCTGTGCATTTATGAGTCCACGATTTTTTTTAACAAGTCTTATCTATACGCACTTTTAAAGAGGGCACAGAATCTAGGTTTGTATAAAGATTACGATTAGAAACCGGAAATGTTCACCATCGTGATTATCATTAATACCGTATCTTTATGTGCACACGTAGACCGGATCTTATTCCTCATAACAACTGCCTTCTCAGAGGGCATTGGTAAGGTCCAGCAAAATCTGATAATTCACAAAATCGCTGTGACTTAATCTAGCAGAGAGAGCCACTTAGTGTTGCTAGGACAAAATGAGGCAATGGTGCCACTCACTTTGCCCTCTAATTTTCTATTAGCATAATTGCAGATCTTCTGTGTGTGCGCGTGTATGAATTGGCCATTGCCTTGACATTTTATTAATGTAGCCTTCAACCCTCTTTCCACAGTTAAAAGGGTCTAATTCCTCTCCCGCATTATCACCTCTTTGTTACACGGCAACAGGTGAGGTGGTGTGGATGAGTCCCTATCGTGCCCTCCCCCCTCTCTTCCCACCCCCCCTCCCCTTTCATATCACCGTTGCTGACTTTAATTTACTGTTACCCGGCACTTACCTATCCATACCCCTTCCTCCCTGCTGTTCAACTATCATTGCTAGCTGCTGTTGTTACCGCTATTTCCCGCAGGAGACACTTGAGGACTGCCACAAATTGTAACGAAATGGGTGATAGTCTCGTCCTCTACGTGTGTATAGTTGCGTATTTATATTGTGTAGCCTGCTGAAATTCATGGATAATGTGGGAACAACTGCGTCTCGATTCTATCCTCCGTGCTTTAGATGGAGTATCTGCAGCGAATGGGAATGTTCACTAACTTCAACTCTGCTCTACTCATAACTGAGTTTGACTAAGTCCTATGTGGAGTGTGAGGTTGGATTGTGCAGCCCGTTAGAATTCGAACGGGGTGTGGCAACAAACACATCCCACGGTTCGATTTTATGGCTTTTGGGTGGAGTGTTTGGGCTGAACCCTTTGCTAAGTCTGGTCAGACGCACTGACACACTTTTGCCTAAGGTCGGCTAAATTTGTGTTCTTATATATGGAAATGCATGTATGTCGGTTTGTTACAATGTGTTTAAAGTAAAGCTTTCTATTTGAAACTTGTGACTCATCCGGACACGCCGCTCCTATGCCGCGGGCGTTTAAACTGTACAGTCCGCTATGATCCTAATGCAGTGGAGGCGCAGACGTGTTCTGACTTGCTCATTTCAACTGGATACGATGATCTTTTCCTGGCTAAATTGGATCAGGTTCATGAATTTTGTGGACTAAGCATGGATTTAGGTTATATAGGTTGCAAAAATTCATGACCTTATTTTAATTCCACCCTACGACCTTTACGTGCTGGCTATCGTACGCGATTCCACAACCACGCTCGAAGCTGTAATTTGTTCAATCTATGTACGTTCTCGGTAGGACATGTTTTAGGACTGATGTATAGGTCACACTTTTTCCCCCAGATTTAAAATCTGCTGCTAATGCAGGGAAATTCTACCGTCCTTTCTTGGCATAAATAGGCTATTAACGGTTGTCAAGTTGTTTAAGCTGTTGATTTAAACGGCGGGAGAATTGTTAATAGAGCCATTTAGGAAGTATACAGCAGTTATGATATCGTAGTTGGGAAGGGCCACGTAGAGTAGTGCAATACGCTTGTCGTTATTTGCTACAGTAAAAAAATCGCTAGCGGTGATGTTGGATTATGAAAAATCACTTATTTAAGGGGATCCATGTCTCGATGCATTAAAATTTCTGCGCACAGCAGGGCATTCCTTGGAATTACATTAAAACGTGAAAAAAACTTAATGCTTATTCTATTTGCCCCTAATGAAATAGACGGGCATCTCCCCGTGCTAATGGCCTATTAATGGTTAGGCTCTAATTAACCGTTTATTTGGAATGTGAATTGAACGATTCACTCCTTAAATTCATTAGACAGGTTTTTCAGCAGTTTAAAAAATCGCTCTTATCCCATGCTTCTCATGGTATATGGATCGGATCTGTGATGGATTTGTAGATTATTTGGTAATGCTAAGTTGAATGTCTTCATTCAAATCTATTCAAGCATTTCTGGCCACATTTAACACACTAGACCTTAGCGCTGTTTCCTCAGTGCAGTGAAGAGGGAATTTGAGTGCCATCAATTGTTATAAACTCGATGTGAAACCTCATCTGATTGCATGTTGCCGCCGTGATCATACGAGGGAGTGTCTATGACAGACGGGAATTTAAATTCTAGAACTACAAAAGACGTGTCCTTGTGAAGTAGTAAGTGGCAAGTCCGTCCTGTCAGATACTAATAGCCGATTTGAATGTCGTGGTTCAGTCTAACTAGGCAACGGTGTTGCCAGTCCGTGAATGCAGTCGCCCGCGTGCATTAGTAGCTTCAAGATGTTGGTGCGCGCTGAATACCAAGACCGGTAAAGATGGGTAGTCTGTCCTAGGTCGGTTAACTCGTGCTGTCAACTCTTTCAAGCAGAGGTTGAATACGTAGAAGAGCCCATGGCGAGAAATGAATTCAATTTCTATTCAAAAGTCTCGTCTGACTTGAACGCCTCTCGTAGTGTTTGGAATTTTATCCGAATTGTTCCTTTTAACGCCATGCGCATCTTTTCACCCGTAATACTTTGTAATAAATGATCATGTTACTCATTATTCTATTCTATCATAAAGGTAGGTTTTTTTGCCTTTACTGTGTCTTCATTTGCCTTTTTCTCTCCGACCGTCCTAATCGTCCAGGCGCCAATACTAATTATTTTGGAATCGTAATTGCCACACTGTCTAAGCAATTGCAAATTATAGTTAGTTTTTTTCTTTTCTTGCAACTGAACCATTGAGGCTCAACAGGGTTCCTCTAGTTTGTACGTGTGATCGCGGCAAAAAGAGCTGTCGCTTCGTGTCACTGTCTCTTGATCAGAGGTCCGGTCTTGCCTTTACGCGCGAATCTCCAACTAACGTGACTCAATACCCCACAATAGTTGAAATGCTGTTGTAATTCAGGGATCTTGAAAAGAACATATTGCAGGCAATGAAAACTGCAACATTTCATTGTCCCACAGAAAGATTCGTCTCTTAAGCGTCCAAAAGTACAATTTTCACGCACTGAATGTTTACACGAGTGAAATTTGAGGAATCACCACGGCCAGGATGACTGGCTATTTTTGGCGGCTGTCTTTGAAACCTTGACGCCACTTAAGTATCTTGTCTTTGTTGAGAGCTCCACCACCGAATTCTGCCGTAGACACGAGTATCTGTGGGTCGTGAGCTACCGTTCACGAGAAATTTCATCATTACACGTCACTCAATGCCGTCTTGATTAACGGTGCCTGGACTGGAGAACAATATGTGCCTTGCCTGCTAAGAGTTGCAATAGGGCACGCTTGGAACATACTACGGTAAATATTCCGGTTTGCTTAAAAGTCCATCGTATTCAACCGCCTCTTTGTTAAAGGTTTTTCTGTCCTTGATCCAATACGCCATTTCACTTAACCAGTAGCAAAGATGGCGCGAGCAGTTCCATACCACCAGTGTGATGGTCGAATACAACGACAAGAGGGGTCGCCATGCCTTATTGGTAATTAACTCAAAAGCACAAACAATGTTAAGTTAATGCATGCTGTGCATAGATGTGACTAAAGTCTGAGGTTTAAGCGATCAGTAGGATAGGTGATATGGAGAAAGCTGATTCGCGGATTACTGAAAGGACTTACCTAGTAGTACAGGTGTGTGAAACCGAAATCATTTATTTTCTTTGACCATTGAAGGCTATTGTCAAGCAATGAACATCGTGACGGGCATGCTGCTCCTCTACTGCTCCGAAGAAGAGGCCTTCTGGCTCCTGGCAGCCGTTTGCGAGCGTCTATTGCCTGACTACTACGACAGTCAGGTGGTGGGAGTGCGAGTGGACCAGGTCGTGTTGTGCCGGCTGGTCTCTCAGCTCCTGCCTGCCATCTTCACTCGTTCTACTCCCACCTCTACTTCCCCCTTCCCCGCCTCCCTTCTGTCATCAGCGTCAGCGTCTAGGAGTTTGGACCACTCCGCCTCCTTTGTGATGTCGCTGTTTAAACGCGGTGGTATAAGACCCACCCCTACTGCTTTGAACAACAACAGTGGAGTGGAATTAGTTAACCTCGTCACTCTCTCATGGTTTCTCACACTCTTTCTCAAGTCAGTTTGTACAGTAAATTGATAATTTTATGCTTCCGTCAACCTCTCCATTATAATGAGTTCATAAGGCATAAATGATATTGTTTTGGAATGATATGCGCATGCTCTTATCCTCTCCCCTTCGCACCACTTTGTTATCTTTTTCTTCTCCTATCTCCTATTATGAGATTACGATTTGTATCATTCTTCCCGAGATTGCAGATCTTTTGTAGATTTAATTGAATTTCTACCGCATAGTCTCTACTGTGACGTGAGGCTTTCAAATGAAATTTAAACTACCACAATCGAAGCTTTTTTTATAATGTTAACTTTATCTCTGTCATCCCTTGGCAGAAAGAGGCATATTGTTGACTGCTTCTAGGTTTGCCCAAACGATCTTGTAGTTAGCTTCTCTTCTCTCCCCTTTTGCCATCCCCTTTTCTTCTCTTTCGGTAGACAATCAAACATCATCACGCTTCTCTTATCAGTAACTAGTTTTGACTTGTAAATGTCATATTTGTTTTCTCATTGTGATTTCGATCCTTCTACTGGGATTTAATCTATTGCATCACTTTATGAGTGGCATTAGTACGTTTTACAAACCGTATGAAAGCTGTTATTCATGTGCAATCATATAGTAAACAAAATTGTGCTTATTACTCCACCTATACCTTTAGGGGATCACTATTAGCTCCAAATTCCCCAAAATCAACTGCCGATGTCATAATTAAATCGGTGGTCGGTTTGTATATTTTGTCAAGCGATGAAATTGCGGGAGAGGAAGCAGCCCGGGGACAAACTTGTTTTATCACCGTCGTTGTATCATTGCCTCCTAGCCATTCACCCAATGTCTAGCATCGTTGATCTACTTTCTCCCTCTGTCTCTATGGCCTGCACGCATTCATCTCACAACCCCTCACCTTCCCTCCCCCTCCGCCCTTCATTTGCTTCCTGAATAAGGCAAATGTAGAACTATCCTGTAATTTATTCTAATTAAGGCTCCTCTTGTCATCTTTGTGTCGTTTCTGGCTTAATTTAGCCATTGCCTTGCACTGTTCCAACAGGGGCAGGCAGAGATTTGTTCCCACTGAGCGTATACGTTTCGGTTGCATTTAGGTTTCATTTTGAGGGGTAGTTAAAAAGTAGCTTGAACATTTGGCTGCATTAGAGTAGGATTGGTCATACTCACCCTCTGGAGAAATATTTAAGTCGTTACCTGTTAACTGATTAGTGAATCTGTCCTTACTTTTAGCACCATGCCCTTTCGATGCGCAGTCTTCATTATCGACTACTTCTTTTTCGGAGGAGCCAAGGTGGGTTTCGGGCATCCTAAACTGTTGCCTCGACTTTTTTAATCGTATAGAACGTTTCTTACTTGCATTCAGCGTGTTCAAGTCTGGCTGGGCCTTTTTGACTGTACGGTTGCGAAAATGAATAACTTCGTGATAGTACTACACACAATACACAATACACACAATAGTAAGTGCTGAGTGTACCTCTGTAAGGACACTAATGTTAGGTGTGCATTTTATGAGCTAGTCCAACCAAGATACCGTTGATCAAATTGGCAGGCGACAATGTGTGGAGATTAATGAACGAGGGTGCACGACTTGCAAATATCTATTCCTACAAGTCGCTCCAATCATTGTTTGTGCTGTAGGGAGGCGCTCAGTCCCATTATGTCCTGTAATGGTGTAAACTCTTCAAAGATGGCTGTCAGAAATGATCTTCCGTTGACGATCCTGACTGTTGCGATTTTGTTACTATCCCACATTCAGGCAGTGTGTGAGGTGGCTGATTCGGGACGACCAGTCGACGCGTGAGTGGTCGTAAAGTTGCATAAGAGACGAATCTTTCCTCGTGGAAAGCTTGGAATCAAGGCAGGTTTTACACCCGAGCTCATAATGCGCATCCCACTATGTGGACACTACAGTAACCCGGTTGGGAGGTATTGCCATATCCTCCTTAGGGCCTTAAATCCAATCTAGGTGATCTTCATTTGTTTAGTTTCATGAATGAGCACCTTTGAGGTCAATATTTTAGCACCAGTGCCAAAGCGGAGTAGGCTCTCCTAGAATGATTCGGTTGTACTCAGAAGTCTTTTCATCTCGAAAGCGATCCTTTTCGAGACGTAAAGGCCTCGGTTTAACTTCAATGGTTCTCGTTCATGCGATAATGCAAATTTAGAACCTCCTTGGCCATCACATTTCCAGATGTCTTGTTAAATATCATTGCCATCAACCGTGCATAGAATATTTCACCCACCTAATCTTTGCTCCTAATTGTTCTATGCAGCGTTGGGTGAGCTCGAAAGGGGTAGGTAGTTTTTTTTCCCGTTTTTTCTCTGCCTCTTTTGCCATCCATATGGCAGTGATTAGGTGGTTAAGGCATGGGTAACCGATAGGCCTCCAGCTGTCACCAAATTCCTCTCCCCTTTCTTCCTATCTCGCATCTGTGTGTGGGTGTGCACGTACTTAACCATTCATTTATCTTATTTAAAAGTCAAATGATGTCTTTACGATGAAATTAATCCTTAGAGGGGATAGTGATACACTTCTTGTGGTACATCCCTTTCACAAGAACTGTTGCAATGCCGTCATCTCACATCTCGTAAAAGCTCCCATTCGATCGGGTTTAAAGAACATAATTATGTTTTTATTCTCTTTTTAATTTTCGTCATTCCGCACATGGTTTACTGAAGGAATTGAACCCCTACTGTAATGCAGTATCTTCAGCCCCCTGCCAATGACAAACTCCTTTAAGAAATTGAGCAGCTCTCTCAATGTAGTTTCTCTCATCTGGACAAGCATTCTTTTCGACGTGCTGCTTGTGTTATTATCAACACTTATGGTCCATCGGACTTTTTAAATCTTCCTGGAGTCCAAATCGGCCTTCTTTCCCATCAGAAGACCCTCGCATAATGCGAAATCTGCAAAGTGGTTCACCCCCTCGATCTAAGTGCTTGATATTACAGTTTATACTTAGCCGTCTAGGGACTTAAATCGGTATCGTACTGTGCATGCTTTCTTGCTGCAAAATTTGACATTGGACGAGTTGATATCATTGGTTGTGGCCATACTCAAAGTATTTCATGGTAATCTGACCATCATTGCGTTTATTGGAACTTTGAATGACTGGGCTCCTATGCCGCTCATTTCAAAGGTGGTATTTCAACTAGCCCTTGAGCTGCTACGTCTGCACCTGCCAATCTTCAACGCCTCCCTGGAACGAGAGGAGGTCAGTGGTACTCTACTGCACCTCTCCCGTTTCTTCCACCACCTCATCCCGGAAGCGTTGTCTTCGTGCTCAGCCCAGCCGTCATCTGACACCAAAACGGAGGTGTCATTGCACCCTTTGACAACAGGTATGGCGTCGTTTCTCAAGGCAGTGACGGTGGAGCAGTTGCTCAAGTCGGCGCGTGCTAATTTCGGGGAGGCGGTTACATGTGAGCGTATCGAGTCGCTGCGCCTGGCTTGTCGCTTGCACGTCATTCACGCGCTCTCTGAGAGCTGTGTGAAGGAGGCCATTCGCACACTGCAGCCTCAGCTCTCCGCCAGGCCTGAGGATCTGGCTGCCATCTGCTTCTCCTACAAGGTTAGCATCTGTTACTATTATCTCCCCTCCCACCTCATTTCGGTTATCTGTTGAATGAGTAACCGTTTGGTAGTTGGATGAAGTCTCATTGATGCAGTTTGCTAGCTCTATCGATAGATCATGAACACGTTAACTATTGACGCCACATTTACGCATCACTAATACGTGGCATTCGTTACCCAAAATCGTGTTGCAGGCAGTTTGGTTGAGGCTTGAACAGCAAAATTAGGTGTAAAATGTTCTTAATCTGATAGTAATTACCCTCTTTTGAAACTTTTGGTAAGCATTTGAACTGTTGGAGAAGTGATGCTCTTAGGTGAAATATTAGAACAATAGAAAATCTTTTTTTTAAAACTGGGACTTGATTCGCTTTTATTGTGAACGCAGTATACTGTACATATAGCACTAAAGGCTCCCCATTTTGGGTGATGGGTTCTGCTGAAATGTGGCCACGATGCCACCAGACGTTCGCAGTTGTGCTTCGAGGACCACCTTCATAGCTACTCTCCCTGGGACTTGGAAACTTTTCAGCATATACTTACACGCTGATATTATCAGCGTCTAAGTTTTGGTTGGCTGCAATTTTGAGGTTTAATTCGATCATCCCTTTTTATTGTCACTTTGAAAACCATCTCCTTCACTTTGATGTACGTCTGTTAGCGTCATTTTATATGTCTAAGTATACTTTCAAGTTGTTTTCCTGAAACCCTTTACGGACCAGCGGGAAATCTTTTCCACCACGGGTTTGAAACAAGCTTAACTACACAAAACCTCTATTGGAGGAATGAGGGAGTCATATGATGGCAGAACTTTTAATTATAAAATCAACAAACCAATGGCAGAATGTGTGGTTATTTCATTCGAAATCCACGAGGCATCTCGTCACAAATCACGTAAATACGAGTCTACCGAAAATTTGGACAGTCGGTAGAAGGTTATTGTGTAAACCAATTGAATAAGCTTGTGCCAATTTTATGCTAATGAGTTCTATTCGGTGGAATAAATACCACCACAATCAACACCCTTCTTTCAACGAAACGCATGTTTGTGAATTCTACCCTTATAAAATAATTTGTTTCTGGAAGCAAGCGATTCTGCTCTGCGTTCCTATCTCCATTTTCCAGCTGCCTTTTGTGTTTCTCATGGGTTCAGGTGATTGACAGATGCTAGTGCCAGTAAAAGAACGTGTCATCTGGATAAATATCATTATGGAAAATGTGGAGGGTGAGAATGAGGAGAC